TGTTTGATTCACTTCGATGCTAACTACAGGTAACTTCTTACTGAATCCCTCACATGAAACCACATAAAAATAACTCAGCCGTGAGATGGCTTAATGCCAAAGATCTTATCTCTCTTTAAATGCTTAAGCTAACATTTATGTTTTGAAAGAAATGAGAAAAGAACTGTTTCTTTTTCTAAAAAGCATGGATTAAAAATGCAGACTTTATACAAACAAAAGCTGGTATGAACTGAAAGGCCAGCTTGAGAGAATACAACCGTTCAGATACTATTCAGATAATATTAGTTCAGTTACAAAAGGCCTTGCAGATCTTTAACTTGGATTAACCCACTACAACATAGGGCCTGAGGTGCAGGTGGATGCTGAGTGTTGACTGGACACTGCTCTGAGCACCAACTATCTCTTTGGTTTCTGTACTTCCTCTGAGTCTGAACTTAAAATAAATTTCCTCCCAAAAGACTCCTCTGTTTCGGGGAAATAGACCTTTGGGGGACTCACCCCACGGGTCTTGAAGACATGTCTGTATTCTGGATAGAATACACCTTAGACATAGGTTGGGCTGACAACCAAAAATGGATGTTGTATACCAATTATCTCTGTAAAAATGAGCCTTGTATCCACTATAAATAGGCGATAGATTACATTACTATTTTTAAAAAATATTCAATCCTGGGGGAATTGGGAGTTATTGTTTAGCAGGCATAGAGTTTCAATTCTGCAATATGAAAAGAGTTCTGGGGATGGGTGAGGGTGATGGCTACACAACCGTGAGAACATATTTACTGCCACTGAACTGTACACTTAAAAATGGCTGAGATGGTAAATTTGATGTTATATGTATTTCTCTGCAATTAAAAATAGTGATAAATTTTTCTTTAAAAATCCAAATGAGTTAAGAAAAATTCTTGTAATATTAAATTCAAAATGAAAATAAAATAAACTCATTAGTTAAAATAATCAATCAATCAATCAATCAATCAATCAATGCATGCATGCATGCATGCATGCAATCCTTTCTCCACACTAGTGTGGTTGAGGGAGGAGGCCAAGTACATTACGCTGGCCTCATAACGGGCACAGTGTACTTGTCCACCCCTTGATTTTGAGCTCAACCATGTGAGTTGCCTTAGCCAATGGGATGTTATCAGAGGTGAGGGAAACAGAAACTTTACGCTTCTGGGGTTAGCCTGGCCCTCTTATACCTCTGCCATGCCCATGAGAAGAGCTTTCTCTGGTTGCCCCTACCTCCTCCTCAGCTTGAGCCCCAGAATAAATACATTTGTAGCAGATATAGCCCCAAATGCAGCCTGGACCTGGAACTAGCAGAGTCACATTGCAGCCAGCACATGGACTCATGAATACACATTGTTGTCTAAACCACTGAGTTTGAGGGTGGATTGTTATGCAGCATTATTTGTGGTTACAGCTCACTGATACACTATATTATCTGAATTGACAGCTTGCAAAAACAGGAAAAGGGTATACACTGCAAATTTTGACAAAATACGCATGATTAAGGCCCAGAGAAAACCAACTATGTTTTGAAGTGGAATTTTTTTTTCATGTGTATTTACCTTGCTTCCCCATTAAGTATTTATAATCCCTCGATGTTGAGGCCATGAACCATTTTCTCTTGCAATTCTCCCCCATGGTCCTATGAGTAAATAAATATTCACTAAATTGCTTAATTGAGCTTTGGTACAGGAGTACACAGAAATACAAATTAGACACCCAGGATAAAGGGTTCCATTGTAGGTCATGGAATCCGTTAAAATGGGATTTTTCAACCTCTGCACTATTAACAGTTGAGATAGATGATCTGTTGTCATTGTGGGGAGCTGACCTGCACACTGCAGGATATTGAACAGCATCTCTGACCTCTACCTACTAGATGCCAGGAGTATGACACCTCCCAGCTGTGTTATGCAAAAAGAGTTTCCAGATTCTACCAACCATCCCCTGGGGGAAGCGGAGGGACAAAAATTGCCCCCACTTGAGTACTGTTCCATTACAGCAAAAGAGAAAGGTGGTATAAGAGAACAGACACCCAATGTCAAGAGAGAGCTCACAGATAAGTACCTTTTCCTCTAAGCGTCAAGAGAAGCATTTTTTCTTAAAAGATCCTATAAGATTGGTCTATCCAGCCATCAAATCGATAATAAGAGAACAGACACCCAATGTCAAGAGAGAGCTCACAGATA